TCTTTTAAACTGTTTTTTAAATTTTATATGTTATGTTTTATCTCGGCTGTTCACCGCCCTGAGTCCTGTTGGAAAAGGGCGGTATACAAATCAAATAAATAAAAATAAATAAAGTGTGTCTGTTTTCCTTAAATTACTTTGGATCGATTTCTTTTAAGAGCATTATTCTTGCAACAAGGTGATCCTGTTGAATGCTGTGCAGTTTCACTACAGCTGCTGCTTGACGTACGACCACAATTGAGCCCAAAATGTATGTTGCTGAGTGAGACGTTTGTTAAGTGAATTTCGCGCCATTTTACAACTTTTCTTGCCATAGTTGTTAAACGAATCACTGCAGTTGTTAAATTAGTAACCCGGTTGTTAAGCGAATCTGGCTTCCCCATTGACTTTGCCTGTCAGAAGGTTGCAAAAGGTGAGCACATGACCTAGGGATACTGCAATGGTCATAAGTATGAAACAGTTGCCAAGCATCTGAATTTTGATCACGTGATCGTAGGGATACTGCAAAGGTTGCAACTGTGAAAAACGGTCATAAGTCACTTTTTTCAGTGGTGTTGTAACTTCGAACAGTCACTAAATGAACTGTCGTAAGTCGAGGACTACCTGTATTTAATATAGTGGTGTTATTATAATCCAACTATAGCTCAGTGTCCAAATGATAAAGGCCTTAATACAGTTTTACCCCAAACTGAAAATGAATAGTGGACTACTTGTAGTCCTTGACTTACAACCGTTTATTTAGCAATCATTCAACGTTACAATGGCACTGAAGTGCCTTCCTCACACTTACAACTATCACGTGATCACGTGATCAAATTTCAAGCACTTGGCAACCGGCCTGTATTTATGATGGTTGCAGTGTCCCAGAGTCACATGATCGCCATTTGAGACCTTCCCAGCTGATTTTTGAGAAGCAAAGTCAATGGGGGAAGATTATTTTTAACAGCTATGTGATTCGCTTAACATCTGCATTCTGCAATGATTTGCTTAACAACTCTGGCAAGTAAAGTTGTAAAAATAAGGTGTGACTTAGTTAACCATGGCCTGGTTTTTGTTTAGCAATGGAAATTCTAGTTCCTATTGTCGTCATAACTCAAGGACTACTCGGATATTGGGGAAAGTCTGATACTAGTGATCGGTCTCCCTATGCTATAAAAAGCATGAAAGCCTTTTAAAAAATTCTTTATTTTAAGAAGTGCAACTTAATATAACATATATTCATATGCCATAGATGAAACTACAAATACGTGCAGTTCACAGTTCTGCCTTCTTGGCAGAAGGAATACTATGCAAATGAAGCAGAAATCAAAAACAGTTCAAAACAATCTAATTTAGAACCGATAGATAAAATTTATCTATCCTGTGTAAGCCACGAGACATAGATGAGAAAGCCTTAAAAGCCACCGTGGTGAAAGAACATTCAAGTCCTAAAAGAGCATCTTTCAAGAGGGCTATTCTTAACTTATCAACACAAAACTGTTTGCTTTTGATAACCTATTGTAAAAGGATTCTGAAAATAAAGCATACAGCAAACAACAGCTTAGAAATTGTTCCAGATGGCCAGGAAGAAAAAATGTGTTTAGGATAAAGAGCTACTTTGGGAAACAGACTGTCTTGAAATCATTCTTCCTCAAAGATTTTACTGGTATCAATTTGCTTTTTTTGTACCTTCTAGTTGGTGGGACGTAGGCGGTAGCTCAGTGGCTAAGATGCTAAGATCCGGTAGTGATGGAGGCGGGTGGTTCGGAGAACCAGTAGCAAAAATCCCTGCCCCCCCCATTGCCCAGCTGAGCCACACAATCATCAGAGGCTTTTTTTTTATTATTTTTAAAAGCATTTTTTCTACAACCTCTTTGGCCGAAGAAATTATAGAAAAAAATGTTTTTAAAAGGAAAAAAAGCCTCTGCCGATCAGGCAAGTCAGCTGGGATCGTCAGAGGCTTTAAAAGCATTTTTTTACAGCCTCTTCAGCCAAAGAGGTTGTAGAAAAATGGTTTTAAAAGTAAAAAAAAAAAAGTTGGTCACGCCCACTCAGTCATATTACACACACACCCACGCCATGCCCACAGAACCAGTAGTAACAAAACTTACATTTCGCCACTGCACCAAACCCACCCAATTTGAATGTCTTTTGAAGGCTAACATAGGAAGGCTTAGTTACCAATAGAAGAGAATATTTGTAGCTCAGGGTTGAATTGTGGTGCTCTCTGGGATTTCAACACCCCTTTCAAGGAACTAACAATTCTGAGAAACAATCCAACAGTAAACCACCTGATCAAGGAACTACCAAGAACACTCCCATCAGCACTGACAGGGCAAGCCACTTAAATATAAAGAGAGAGCAAACCTCACTCTCTTTCAGCACTGGTGATGTTATCTAGATGGGTAATGAAATGTTTGCAAGAAAACATCCAAGCACAAAGAGCATCAAGAGTTACCGGGGGGGCGATCTATAAGGGGGGGTCTATAAGGGGGGTGTATCTATAAGGGGGGTATCTATAAGGGGGGTATCTATAAGGGGAAAAGGAAATATTTTTGACTGAGTAAGGACAGCTGAGTTCATGTCCACATACAGTACTAGATAGCCTTGAGCCAGTCACACTCACTTTGTTTCAATTATAATGCAAGGTTGTTATGAGAAACACAGGAAGAGATTAATTATGAGAAAAAGAAGAAGAATATTCAGAAAAGGCATAAGGTTTGAAGGACCAGTTAAGCCACCTGGTCTAATTCTCTCTCATTGAGGGTCTCCTGAAAGCACTTTTCCCAGAATAAGACATATGTTTAACTGTGTTATAAAAGAAAGTGCATTTTTACACCGTTGGAAAGCTTCATAATGATTTACCATTAGCTATTGTAAGGAAAACACATATAGACTGTCAAATCCTGCAATCCATCCAGACCCAGTTCTGTAAATTTCTTTACGTACATAAAGCAAATCACTGTCCTTCCTTACACAAGTGCGCATTTCCTCCTCCAGAGATTTTTTTTCCCCTTCTAGAAACACAATTTTTCTGTACACTATCATGTTTCCCTTGCATTTACTCTACCTACAAAGCCGCTCAGTTATACATATAGCCTGTTTAAAAAAACGATTTAGTGCACCATAAAATAAAAGTATACTTAGGAAAAACAAAATATTAAATTCTGCTCAGAGGCAAAAACCATAGCACGATTTCATAAATCTGTTGTTTAACCAGTGTTTTCCGCCATTGATCATAGTGGTTTACAATTGATGACATTCCATGCCTTAATAACTCACATATCACTGCATAATGTAACAATCTTTGGTTTCTTAAAAACCCGTCATTTATGCTTTAGGCTGCTTTAATTATCACAGTTCTCAATTCTAATGTTTACCTTTTTGGAGGCTGATAGGAAATAAGCTCAGCATGTGAAAAAACATTAAAAACGAATTGTTGCTTAACCATAATATATAATCACAGGTTTTTCTGTTCCGCTCTTAATATCTTTCTTTTTTTGAAGAAAGAAGGGATAACAGTTTTCATATTTTAGTATTTTTAAGGAGCTATATGTTTTGCTGTTCTTCAAAAAATACTACACTGCTGGCCATTTTTTTTTAAAAAAAATTGGAATCTGAATTCTTTTTTCTCATTCCAGATGAGGAGTATAGGAAGATTTTGGAAAGTGGGGTAGTTGGGTGTTTTATTTCGTTCGTTTGGCAGCCAGGACAGCAATATCGCCATCACCATTACAATTCCTGTTACTTTTATCACTTTTACTATTACTTCTGCATTGGGACAATGCTCTGTCTTTTTTTTCTGAGCTGTGACACTTTTTTTTTTTTTTTTAAGTATCCAGACATTCCCAAAACTTACACAGGTAGTCCTCAATTTTACAATCACAACTGAGCCCAAAATTGCTCGGTTGCTCAGCAAGACAATTGTTAAGTTGTGAAGAGCCTGTTAGTACAGTGGACTAAAGTACTGTTATTAACATCTGCTGCCTGCAATTACTGCAAGTTCAAATCTCACCAGGCTCAAGGCTGACTCAGCCTTCCATCCTTTCAAAGGTAGGTAAAATGAGGACCCAGATTGTGGGGGCAATAAGCTGACTTTGTATAAATATACAAAAGTATGAAGGCTATTGCTTAACGCATTGTAAGCCGCCCTGAGTCTCCGGAGAAGGGCGGCATATAAATTAAAGCAAAAAAAAAAAAAAAGTAAGTTTTGCCTCATTGCCGACCTTCCTTGCCACAGTTGTCCGGTGAATCAGTGCAGTTGTTAAGTTTGTAACACGGTTGTTAAGTGAATCTGGCTTAACGATTAACAATTCCCTGTGCTTGTCAAAAGATCACAAAGGAGGATCACATGACCCCGAGACACTGCAACCATCACAAACATATCCCGGTTTGCCAAGGGCCCGGATTTTGATCACGTGGCTAGGGAGATTCTGCAGTGGTTGTAAGTGTGAAGCTTTTTTTCAGCGCTGATGTGTCTTCGAACAATCCCTAAATGAATGGTTGTAAGTTGAGGACTACCTGTACGTAGGCAGAAACCTTCCCCACCCCCACCCCCATCTTCTCTCCACTGAACAGCTGCTATCCAGCATTGCCTATCGCAATGAATTCAACACAATGAGATTAAAGCTCCCCTCAGAAGCTCACTTTAAACACATTAGTGTGCCAGCCTGCTATAGTCAGCTCTTACCAAAAGCAGCCCTGCTTTCACACAACACCCTTTTGTTCTTTATTCTTCGGCATTAATCTCAGCATAGAGCTACCCTGTTAATATCTCAGCTGCCAAGAATAAAACACGTCAGCAATCACACCTAAATTCGGCCACGGTCAGCACATTGCTGCCTTTCCTTACCCTTTTCCCCTCTAACTAGGGCTTGGCGTTTCATGTGAAGGACAAGCGTGCGGCGAATGAAATTGCCCTGTCAGCTCTATCATTAATCCAAGTGCTTAAATCCCTGAATAAAAGGGAAATCAATGTTGCTCGGCAATGTTTGTCAATGCGGCGTAATAAATACACTTACCTTTACGGAGTATTCTCAACAGCTTAACAATTCTCTGCTTCAAAGCTGCAAAAGGGAAAAGGGATGGATATTGAGTTTTTTTATATACTATATATAGGGTGTAGGTTTTCTTTAAATTAAAATGAAAGGCCTGCTGTATGTGTGTATATATATATATGAAGAATGGAGCCCCTTCGACCGCTTTCCAGTTCTCGTTTTTGTTCTCCATTATCAAAATACTAAAGTTGGGATATTGGCACAGAGATGTATGAGAGGGGGGGAAATCGTTTGTCTTTCAATCACTGAAAAGCTATTCAGGTCAAAAGCACTGGTCAAAAGCACTCTAGGACAAATGAGGTCCACGTGTAACTGCATTCAAAAGGCACCTTTGATAATTGTGTGTGACAGTTTCTTGCACAAATCTCCCCACCAATGGAAGGCAGGCAAACAGCATGTGGGCTCTGCAAGATGAAAAGAAATTCAGAAATGAGGCGAGATTTTTGTAAAATGGCAAGGCTGTAAGAGCAGTTGAAGGAAGGTCAAAATCAGGCTGTGATTTGCTTATGGATGGCTGTAGTCCTTGATTTACAACAGTTCATTTGGTGACCATTTGAAGTTACAACGGCACTGGAAAAAAATGACTTGTGACCATTTTTCACACTTACGACTGTTATAGCATCCCCAGGGTCACACGATTTAGATTTGGATGCTTGACAACAGACTCACATTTATGACGGTTGCAATGTCCCAGAGTCATGCGATTCCCTTTTGACAAGCAAAGTCAAACCAGATTCACTTAACAACCGTGTTACTAATTTAACAAATGCAGTGATTCATTTAACAAATGTGTCCAAAAGAAGTCGCAAAATGCGGCAAAATTCAATTAATAAATTTTGAATTCAATTTTGGTTGTAACTTGAGGACTACCTGTATATGCAAAGTTCATATCTCAGGTTGACTATTGGAAAATGCTGTTGTTGTACAACAGGAAAGATAACAAGCATCAGTGTAAAATACTACAGGGGAGTAAGTTTGTTAAGAATGGCTAGGAAAATATTTGGTAAAATTCTGACTAAAAGGATACATGGCAGGGATGAAATCTATTTACCTTCCCTACCAGTTCGGAAGTGCGTGCGTGCATGTGTCATGTGCAATTTTAGACCCTCTGCGCAAAAACATGTTACTTCCTGGTTAAAACGTCCGGGCGGGTGGGCGGAGCCTCACACTGCCGCTGCTACCAATTCACCGAACCACCCACCGCCACCACTACCAGTTTTCCCAAACCGGTGTGAACCTGTAGCATTTCACCCCTCATACACAGGGTGACAATCCAAAAAATTTCAGACGTGCAATGCGTCCAGCCAATTTTTGTTCTCAAGCAAGTCACTGAGAAATATAAATGGGAAAAATGAATGTTACAGCTAATGGTTTAGGACAATGTTGGCGAACTGGTAGTAAAGGTAAGCAGAACCAGCCCTTGAGTTGAAGGTTAGTTGAGGAATGTAATAAAACTGATATGAGAGCTAGTTTGATATTATGGTTAAGGTGCTCAACTGGAAACCAGGAGGCTGTGAATTGTATTCCTTGCTCATGCATGAAAGAATTCTGAGTGACTTCATAGTTACTGTCTCTCAGCCCAACCTAATTCACAGGGTTGTTGTTATGGGGAAAATAGGAGGCAGGAACAATATATAAATCAGCTGGGGTTGTATAAAAATAAAGGTGGGATATAAATCTAATAAGCAATAAGACAGAAATAAAGCATGTGTAACAATAAATGGAACACTTAGTGAATGGTTCAACATTTTCCAGGTAGTTAGACAAGGATATTGATGGTCTGTTGTTTAACATATTTATGGATAAATGTACATGCATTGTTCGTGGTGAAGTTAGAAGTGAGTTGGTTGGGGATGGACATAGTGTAGTTTTATATAAAAATGTGTAGTGTAGTTTTATATAAAAATGATACCATGGTATTGGCTGAAAAAAAAATGAATGATTTATAAGAGATTTTATATAGATCATAAAATATAAGGAGTATGGATCTGAAAATTAATCTATTTTAGATCAAGAGGCTGTTTCACAAAGACACACGGGGGAATGTTTGCAAATTATAGATACATGATACAGAACTAGAACGTGAATTTGGCAGCATTTTCTACCCAAAAAAATTACTAAAATATATGATGGAAAGTTATAGTGAACGGTTTTGTTGTACACTAATTTTATCTAAATTCCTGCAATAAGCTAAGCCAGAGTTTTATTTTAATAAAAATTTAAGTTGATCATTTTTCCTCTTCTCTGTTTGATGGCGCAGTGGTTAGAATGCAGTATTGCAGGCTAATTCACTGCTCACTGCCAGGTGCTACATGGGAGTGGGGTTTGCTCTTTCTTGATATTCAAGTGGCTTGCCCTGTTGATGGGAGTATTCTTGGTAGTTCCTTAATTAGGCTGTTTACTGTTGGATTGTTTCTCCGAGTTGGTAATTCCTTAAAAGGGGTGTTGTTTATAACTTGGTTGTTGGTCTAGTGCAGTTTTTTTTTTTTTTAATTTGATTTATATGCCGCCCTTCTCCGGAGACTCAGGGCAGCTTAAAATGCGTTAAGCAATAGCCTTCATTCTTTTGTATATTTTATACAAAGTCAGCTTATTGCCCCCACAAACTGGGTCCTCATTTCACCTACCTTAGAAAGGATGGAAGGCTGAGTCAACCTTGAGCCTTGGAGAGATTCGAACCAGCAGAAATTGCAGGCAGCTGTGTTAATAACAGGGTGCACTAAACCACTGTACTATCAAGCCATCAGTGATGGCTAACCTTTTTTGCTGCCACGTGCCAAAAGCGGGGGGAGCACGTGGATGTCGCCCACGTGCGTGCTCACACCCATAATTCAATGCGCCTTGCCCCCGTGAATGCGCGTGCACCTCCCGTCCCCCCCACTTTTAGCACGTGATGGCCCTGTGGGCCCGGTAGGTCCATTTTTCACCCTTCCAAGGCTCCAGAGGCTTTCCCCCCCCCACCCCAGAGGCCCTCCGGAGGCCAGGAACAGCCCATTTCCCAACTTCCGGTGGGATCGAAAGTGTTGTGGCTCCATTGCCTGAGCCTGGGCTATCGACAGATGCAGACTCTGAGAGTGAGGGGGAGGAGTTGGCAAGGCCTCCCTCTCCAGGATCCTCCTCTCTGACAATGCCTCCGGAGGACACCGAAGGCAAACAATAGGCTCAGAACCAAGCATGTCCCCGCAGCCACAGGTGGACAGTGATGAAGAAGATAAGTGCTGGTTGGACCCGCGACAGAGGCGCAGGGAGAAGCGTGCACAGCAGAAGGAAAGGCGTGCCAGAGATTAGCTGAGTCACTGGGCCACACCCCACAGGGTATAAATGTGGGTGTGGTGGCCAGTTCAGTTTGTGACAAGCAAAAACTGGAAATACTCCATGATCTCTGTGTTACTGGACTTTGCCTGCTTTATCGGACTGCATTTGGATTAATCCTTGTATTGTTGACACTCTGCCTGGTTTATCGGAATGCTGGCAGCCTAATCTTTGTTTTGTGTGAGTAAAGTCTGAATTGGCAGCTAGTCACTGGGTTGCTGCCAGCTTTATCATCAAAGAGTTTTGTCGTGTGGCTTATTAACTCTGGGCCGTCTGTGGGTGTGTGTGCATGTTACGGGCACAGAACAGGAAGGCCCAAAAATCAGCTGGCTGGCACACGCATGCACGCTGGACTGCGCTACAGCAATGCTCGCGTGCCCAATGATATGGCTCCGTGTGCCACCTGTGGCACCTGTGCCATAGGTTCGACATCACGGGTCTAGTGCTTATCTTGGTGTCATCTGGGTTTAGAGAGCCATGGTGGCACAGTGGTTAGAATGCAGGCTAAGTCTGCTGATTGGCAGCAGTTCAAGCCTGAAGAGCTCAAAGTTGACTCAGCTTTCCATCCTTCTGAGATCGGTAAAATGAGGACCCAGATGATTGGGGGCAATATGCTGACTCTGTAAACCATTTAGAGAGGGCTGCAAAAGCACTATGAAGCGGTATATAAGTCTAGGTACTGTTGCTATTGCTATTGCTAATAACTATATTGAATAACTCAATCTGAAGTTGAATCATTTTGCCTATTCTATGAGAGAAGAGCTAATAATGTGCTAGACTGTTGGAGATATATGCTTATCAGCTTCTTAAGTTGATTAAAGGGAAGTTTGGGAGAAAAAAATAAGGTTGTTGTTCTCTAAATGGGAAACTCCAGAGGACTGTATTCTTGTGTGACCCCATGGAGCAGGGGTGTCAAACTGGCGGCCGGCGGGCTGGATGTTTCACATGCAGGCTACACCCACCCCAGCTCCGCTACGGGAAAAAAGTCGAGAAATGTTACGTGACGACAACGTGACACCACCAGTTTGACTCTCGTGCCATGGAGGATCATTCATTATTATTAATCACAGAAATGATCATAGTTATTTACCAGCACAGTATGCAAGAAATCAATTGTAGTGATTTGTCCTATTATCTGTCAGAATGGCACACATTTTGGCTCGTATTTGCACATCTTTGTCAGAGCAAGAGCTGCATGAGGATTTCAGAAAACATCACAATTTTAGCAGCCTCAAGTCATCAACTATTTTTTTCTATCTCACCTGTCAACTAGCATTAATCCATTTATTCAAGTTTGTTTCTATTTTAATCTCTCTCTCTCTCTCTCTCTCTCAGAGACAGAGAGAGAGAAAATAAATGACTGTCTTCTGTGATGGGCTTATAAACCACAGTTAATTCCCAAGCCAGGTGGAAAAAAAGCCGACCAAATCTTGAAGCTACATTGCAAACATTTCCTGAAAAAAAGAGATGAACGGATGATTGGAAGATCTTCACATAGCAATCGTAAGGCCAAGAGTTAAAACAGGTACTATCATCATCAAATTAAAAAGAAGAAAAGTACTGTAAGCCTTTTCATTTTTCTCAAGGCAACAGTTCATTTTCAAGCATAGACCTATTGTCTCAGACCTGCTTATAAATGCTCAAAACTTTATATCTACTATAAACATTGAACATTTAGACCAGGGGTGAGTTCTACT